AGGTTGGTCCCGCATTTTGAGCCATAGGGCTAGGAGATCTAGCGGCCGTGCCAGGCGCCTCCTAGGTCCCTCATCGCTAGCACCTGCAATAAAAAATAAATACAAATAAAAACTATTCATAAATTAAATAACAAAATTTTTATTAGATAAATAGCGGAATCATTTATTTCAATCACAATTTTATGATATAGGGGTGGCAGTAAAACTTGCCCCACCCTGTGTACCGATTAAGATTTCTAGACGTGGGTTGAACTTTTGACGCAATTAAACAGAAAACCATGGAATGTCACGCAACATAACGTCACAATTTCTTAAAAAACTGTAAATCGCTAAATGATCCAGTAGCGGGACAATAGAAATCTTCACAAAAATTAATTTTTACGTCGTATTCGATTAGGTATTTTCACTTTCGTAATTCTGTTATTCAATTGAATTGAACAAAACTCAAGCAGAAAAAAAGTCACGTTTTTATTGTTTACGAGTCGAAGGAAATGATATAATCTGGGCAAATACCACTCGATTCCATTAATATAATGAAAAGCTTTCTCTACATTTCGAAGAAAATTTATTTTATCACACAAATCAAGCAATAATTAATAAGAATCTTGGAATATTAGGAGTGATTATGCCCATTTTACATTTTCCGATAATTTAACCATCCATTAGGCTAATGATAGGTGTATTTTATCACGTATCTACTAGGTATCAATGACTATTTTATTTAAATTGTTTTTTTACTTTTTTAAATATGCAGCAAGATACACAAAAATGATCGAAAAAACATAGCAAGTTTTGTGATACTATATTTTATACACTGATTTTATTTCAGATTATCTAAAGGAAGTGATGTTATCTAATCGAATACTACTGACAAGCTTTGTTTCGTAAGTGGAGTTTTACGTTTCAAAACTATGAAAAAATGAATGGACACGTTTATGTCGTGTCTCGTTTTTGGGGTTAATATCGAAAATCGGCCCCCACGAGCGCGTCCGGCGCCCCGCCACCCGTCTCATAAATATGCATGTCCAATGTACTCGTTGGACGTGGTTTAGAAAAGTGGGCAGCTCGTTGTCGACCCACGCCGCGAGTGGGTGCGCCGAGGGCCCAACCTGTCCCAGTCCGCACCTGGCGTCGGGGCCCTTTCGTTACGTAACGTGCAATTTCCGGGTCCGCTTTCGCCAGTGGCGTACGAATAAGAAAGTCGCGGTGAATGGACACACACCCACACACCTCAATGTCATACGCACGCAGGTGGACGAGGTCGCGGCACACAAACACCCGCAAGGACAACGCATATGGACCGGAAACGGGACTCACTTCGCTGGCGGCGGCGACGTCGTCGATGGGACGTCTCCGGCGCTCCTCCATGGCATCGCTCGAACAATTCTTCGAATCTCCTTGGAAAACGCTACACTCGGACGACGGCGACGTCTACACCACTGAACATCTCGTGGGACACTGAGGCAGCGCGGCGCGGTGAGACCGCAGGGGCGACGGTGGCGCGCCAAACGGACGACCAGTGAAACGAGCACCGGCTTTTTATGAATGGGAGGCAGCCATCATGAATGAAACGGCGTACATTCAAGGAAACGAGCGAACAATTCGCGAGCGCAATGCGCTCGACGGACTCATTCATGTCGGGACAACTACCCCGAAAAAATACACGGCACGAGGTGAAGCTGCTTGTCGAAAAATCAAAAGTCAACGCCGTGTTTACAATATAACACGATTTATAGCCAAAGCCGTAAACTTACTGAAAGACGCGCCAGCTGTTTTTCGAGAATACAGGGATTTGGGAGATTGGCGGGGCCTTTTATGCCGTTATTACTTCCGGATTAGACGCCCACACTTCCGTTTCCGACACAAACTACACGGTTTTTGACAAAACCACATTGTCGAAAATAATTAAAATATTTTCAAAAGGACCAGTATACAGGCCACAGGAACGCGCAAAATTGTCGAAATTGTAAAAATTGTAGAACCAGAAAATAAACAACATTTTAATAACAATTTATTAGATGTAGACTTGGTTCTAAACTGCCGTAAACAATAACAGTCAAATTCGTAAGAATCATGACTGAGTAAGTAGGCAAACAGAAAATATGTAGGTAATGCCACTAAATAAAAGTGTTCTTGTGCATTTAGCATTTTGGAACATACACACAAAAAATGTCCCAAATACAATTTTCATATAGTGTTTTTACAAATTTGGACATTCTTAATAAAAATAAGAATATTTTACGTAGAGATTATCCTTGTAGATACGTATAAATCCCAAAGAAATACGGCACTGGAAGTTTCCACTATCCGTATGTACACACAATAATAAAAATTTAAATGATGAATAATCAGCAAACAATTAAATTTAAACTTTGTACAACTTTTTTATAAATTCTATAAGTATAATAATTACGATTAATAAAATATGATCAATTTTCATTCACTCAATAAAAGTGTAAAGTGCACTTCCTAATTACAATTAGTAATTGACAGCTAGGTGACTGTTAAAATGCTACAACAGATAATAAAATAACGTCACATTACGAAATGAATAAACAAATAAACTGCTCTTTTTTCGTGTTTTAAACTTAAAATTCGCAAATTGTTTCGCTGTATGGCAAAAAAGAACAATTTGAGTAAATTAAAAGTTTGCTTTGTCGAGATAGAGTTTTATTTTAAATCAAGAGTAAATAAGCACGACAATAATGAATGAAAGAATGAATGAATGGAGTGGTTCTAGAATCATTATGAAGTACATATATTAAAAATATCTGATAAGTTTGAGTGTCAACATCCTGTAATAAATTTAAAATTGATATTGGTTGCGAGTGAGAAGATTCGACACCTGTTCTGTAATTACCTCCTCGGTAATAAAAATCGAAATGATCTAATAAGTGGTTCGGAATAACGACGTGGAACATTACAAATTATACAGAAAACCGATGACAAACAATTTTTTCGAGCATTTTAGCTTTCGCTTGAACGCTTCGTGAAGAAGAATCTTTAGCTTTTTTCCGAAACGTCTCGGAATACGCATGAATAAACTCGTCAACAGGAAGCATGCCTGGTAAACACAATATTTTTGACAAAATTCGAGTTTCGCTTGAATGAAAATGCATCAATTATGACAGACCACCCCCAAAAGTGTGAATTACCGAATTGTTATGAATGAAGAAAATTCGATGGCGGTGGCGGCGGTTTACGACGGCACGCAAGCGTTTCCTCGAATCATTCGCGTTTGCGTCGTAAACCGTAACCTTGATAACGTCCGACCAAATTCGAAGAAATTGGCAGAGTGTAGAAAGCAATTTCAAGAAATTTCAACGATAGCATCGCATGGCGCGCGCACGGATTGCCCATCCACGGTCTCGATTTAATGGAATTTCGACCAACCAATGGTCGAGACGTCACATAAGTTATTTTTAAGGTCGAGTTAAGTGGCCGACCAAATTACCATCTGCCCATCTCAATGGGTTGAGAAACCCTATACAGGCCCAGCGAGCGGTCCAAGGGGCCAGACTACGAGTGGACAAGTTCGTCTTTCATTTCCGCTGACGGCTACTGGATACGAGCAGCTGGCTCCAAATTACGACCTCGTCCACACAAGCTATAATTCCGAACACAAAATGTCCAACCTCACAGCCGCCCCACTTAAAAAAAAATAACCGTTTTCAACTAAAAATAAACCTCAAAAATCATACAACACGAAATGATTGCAAATGGCATGTAGGTAAAAAACATTTAAAAAAAAACTGATACTACTACACCTTCGAAATGTTATTGTATTGCAAACATCTTTTTCTGTAAAATTACATATTACAATATTGATTTCGACTTTAAAACTTGGTTTATGATTTTTTAAATAAATTCCCAAAAATATTCTACCATCTTTGGCGTATGACAACTCACGTATGAACGTGGTCAGTGACTTTTACAATTGAGTGTCCCCTCCCGCGACCCACACCGTTCAGCCGACCTTCCAGAGGCCGTATGTACAGTCAACCTGAAAACATTAGACACCGGACAGCGCCACACTTTTTCCTTTCGCGACGAAACTCTGAAATTTTCCGATTGTCTTCAGAAAAGCTTCATCACTTTAACATTAGTCCCGCAACTAGGAAAATTCATCTGCTAAGTGCATCACTGAATTTAGTTTTGTCCCTTTTGTGTCTAATTTACATTTTTCGACAATTTATCTAGGATTACGCGTTATAAATAGGACCAGCTCATTATGTTTTTATGTGTAATTCGGAAGCCCGAATTTTAAATGGAAGTCAATTGGCACGTGGGGGGAAATATGCTGATGATGGTCGAAAATTGACGACGAAAACGGTCGACGCAATTTGACCCGTTTTATCACTCTTGGACCTGTTTCGCGAGAGATTTATCAGTGCCAAGCCTTGCATATTTTATTTAGTGTTGCGTTATTATTTACTCATTATCGATCAGCCAAAACTTGGGCCACTTTCGACGAATTTATAACAAAAAGCCGTTACACGAAAATGACTGAATTAAAATACTTGAAAATTTTTAATAGTACTGTGATAGACAAACACGTGCAAAATTTAACTTCCCGCCAATTCGTACTGAGTTTCGAAATCGCTCACCAGAGGACGAGGGTCTTGCTTAACCGCGAATACCTCTATAATCAGGTTTTACCGGCTTATTCGTAGATTTTTTATTGATTTGCCAATTATTTTTTAAATGAAATAAAAAACTCATTTACTAATTAAATTTAAATTACATTACAAAATCATTCTGGCTCGTCAAAATAAGAAAACCAATGCGAAAAACCTATTTTTCGTTTATTTGTGTCACTGTTTTCTCAAAATGTGTCAAATGTGACATTAAAAACCCTAGCAAGTGGCTTTGTTTATCCAGTTTAGCGTTTTCGTTATTTAAAAATAACCCAGCATTGTTGCCAGTTATATTTTACGAATAAAATGGATGTTTAACAATTTTTCATTTTGGGAAAAATATGTCAAGGCTAATTAAAACTGTTGACCGAGACAATGATTTAAAAAAAGAAAAAACAAAAAAAAATTGTGAAAAATTGTCTTGCAACAAAATGATTCGAAATTTCTATTAACAAACTTATAAATTTTTGCGTTCTAAAGTTAGTCATGGATGAATCCGCGTCTTAGAAATAGTATAATAAAACATAAATCTGTCGTGGTGACTTAATGAGTGTCAATTTGTAACTGGATTAAACAATTTTTGTTGGGAAACGACAAAACAAAAAATATTTTTATCACTCTCTAGACATGCACTTACATTAACACCTACGTCCGTGCAGTCTGTATATTTATGCAGGAGACTTTCTCAACAAATACTCTGGCCAATTACTCAACAATATGAACTTTTACACCGTCGTGAAAAACCGAGAAAATGGGATTTTTTCGCGGAAATATCGCCTTACAGAGTCACGTAGTCATGGGAATTGATTTTGTTTTTACTAAGCACATTTCGCCGGAAACGTGCGTTTGCTAATTTTGCAAAAATCGTCTCCGATTTAGGGGAATTTCGCGCTAAAAATTCCGGCAAAACCGTTGCCCGACTGCTGGTGCCTTTAAAAACGTTAAAAACACCTACGTTTAAAGTTCCATGAGGTGCACAGCACGGCCAGCTACGGAGCTATTCACCTTAACATCCTTGATATGGCACCTACATTCGACACCAAAATACAGCCCGCGTCGACCATTCGGAGACAAGGACGACCCACGACAAAGACAAAATGCTTGCAACGAACGTGCCGGTCTAAAGCCGCTTTCACAACACAAAAAATTAATTTTTCAAAAAAATCACCTTCTTCACATGCCTGATGGAACGTCCTCGGCCAACACTCCAAGCCCTGGGCTTCCAGTTTTAGTCTGGAACAAAACAAGGCGATAAAAACAAATGTCGACACTGTTTTGGGGCAATTTCAACAGTTAAGGTTGGCAAAATGGTGACCAGATGCCTCATGATTTATACACGTTAAGCCAAATAAAATAGAATTTTAAAATATTTTTCTCAATTCACCTCAATACAATCTGACATAATTATAAAGTCTGTCTATATTTGCTTAAGATTTGTGCAAACTTTTTGGGCCTTTAACGATAAAGAAACACCAACCCTTCAATTATTGCAATGGTTTGTTTCCTTCGGGGTTGCTTCAACAGCCCGCTGGTTGCTTTGATAACAATATCTTTACAAGCACCCTCATTAAATCTCTCATAAACTAGTTTGATAAGTCAAAACCAGAAAATTCAAGCAAATATAGACAGTTTTTACGAATGTCTTGAAAATGAATTTTTTTTTGTGCTCCGATTAAGTTTTACATGAGAATTGTCTCTTAAAAAAGATATTGTTAGGAGCTCAACAATTTTTGTATTTAAATGTCAACAATAACATGTAAGTTTTTAATATTTTTGATTGAAGGGCAAGTGGAAGAAGGTGTTATGTTACAAAAATATATTTATGACATAATTGGATTTTAGTAAAATTAGCGTCCATGATTATTATTGTGACATGGCCCCTTCTGACACTCAGTATCTGCTTTGATTTGAGAGATAGGTAGAGCCAAATGCTGATGCCACAAGTCGCATCATGTATTTAACTCCTTCATCCATATTAAACTGGACTTTTAAAAAATATGTTACTTAACACCATCTTCCACTTGCCCCTTCTATTGTCAAAAAGACTAAATATAATATAAAATGAAATATTTTATTAAAATTTGTTTAAAATTTTTACAAATTTTATTTTCAGACCAATGATTGGCATCATTAAAAACAAATGTTCAAACATCGAAAAAAATGTTTCTAATTATTGTAATTAATACTAAAGGATCTAAAGGTAACTAATTTAAACAAAAAAGTAATTGCATTGTAGTTTTTCACAGCAAATTTAACAAAATTGCAAAAGATTACTTTGTTTTATTAATTAAATTCTTTTTTATTTACGGGTGAGATAAAAGTCGATGTTAAACTGAACTTTCTCATAGACTGAAAAAATTTGCACAAATTTTGACGTATTACGAGTAGAAAGTAATTATATTTATGTACTTTAAAGGAGAAACAAGATTTCATTAAAAATAAACAAACATTTATTAAAAATTGAGTAGGTAATATAATAATGAAAAACTTTTTTGGACTCTAACTCTGTTTTTGAGTTTTAGCCTTCTTAAACATTTAATTCGAAAAACAGTTTAATTTAATTACACTATTTACTAATTATCTAAAATGCCTTTAGACGTAAATACCGGGCAACTATAAATGATTGTGCAAAAACATCTATTGGCGATCAAAGTAGCCTCTAATTTTGAAATTAAATTAGCAACATTGAAAAACGTGGAGTTTATACAAGACTTGTCAAATTTCAAACTTTCCTGTCTCTATTTTATTGAGTGTTGCAAACTTAATTTTAGAAAATTTAAACTTGTTGCCAACTTAAGGAGAAAACTTACTAGTTAGTAGGACAGTAACAACATGATGTAGGTTTTTCCAAATTTAGTTTATAAATGAGTTCCAAAACTATTTTATTTTTGCAATTGCATTTTTGTGCATGGGGGAGGGTGGATGATGGTGTTCAGCGCGCGGTGTGAACGTATCTTTAGGTTTAGCGTGTCCCTGTAACCCATATGGTCTTTGCGAGTGGGAGCGAGAGGTGGGCCGGTGGTCGTGAGTGGGAGTGAGAGGGACCGAAATGTTTTAGAGAGAGATCCCAAAGGACGGTCGGGTCGGAGTGAGACGGAAAGCATTGACCTGTTGCCTACCAGTCGGGCTACCGAGCTACGCAGCCACAAATCCGAGCGAGGGGAGGGAAATCGGGTACAATGCCGCGGGTAAAACGAGATAAAGGTGGGCACGTTTGGAATTTTTAACTATCGGAAACAATATTCACCTACGCCGCACAATAACAAACTCTCAACTGGCTTTTGAATGGACTAAAAATAACGATTGGGACACGGCTAGAGACCAGCTCCGGCCCACGAATTATTGAGAAATTCCTGCGTTCTTCGTTGGGTGGAGACGAGTGTTTCCTGAGCCGAAATTTTCAAAAAGACGGTGCGAATTGAGGGAAAAATGTTGTTTATTAATAGACAGGAAGTTACGTGGAGATAAGTATATTTTTCACGTGCGCAGAGGATGCGATAAGTAATATGGTATCTTAATTAGTAGTCTAATGTTGGACTGAATACAATGATCAATTAATTCATAAGTGCTAGTTAAACGTCGACATAAACAGAAACTTAAAATCGTCGACGAGTCGAGCATCACAAATTGCCCGAAAAGACACACAAAAGAATTAAAATTAGGATGGTTACGTTGGAATTTCCTATTTTTTTGCTCAATTATTTCAGGCCATTATCCCGGATTCGAACAAAACCGTGGAAAGAATGTGACCCTCTCCCATCTTTAATCGCACCTCAAACCAACTTCGATCTCGTGAAACGGTACTTCACTGTGATACTCTGGTAAAATTGTCAATGTCGAGGTTGGTATTTAACTCACTTCCTTCATATACCAACCTATACCAAATACCAAATTATTAGAACCAAAATGACGAACACGGATTATGCCAACCAAAACGAAATCGCTAAACTCGATTATGTAATAGACATTAACAAACGACTTTTTGTTTCCATACGACGAAACTATTAAGAAAAATTTTAGACGTGCAGGCGTTCCAGCACGCATGACATTCTTTCGAGAACGGACAAAAAATGCCACCTGACCTTAATCAACGCAATGCCGAAAAAACATAACTGACATGTCATTTCCCAGAATGCAACAAAACAAAGCCAGATTTGTGGCATTCGGGGCAAAAATAATTTAAAATTCCATTTTCATTTCTAAGTTTATTCAAAATACATTTTTCCTTACTGCATAAACGAGATTCGAAGCAAATTCTTGCGGCGCTCTGTTGAAATTCTGGTTTGAATTATTATTACCACATGGAAAAAATGTTAAAAAAAAGTCTACCTATAAAAATTTCGAACTTCTAAGAGACTAATAGTTTAAATTTTGCACTTTGCCTCTATCTATTTCTATTGAAAAAATAGAAGAGAAAACAAGGAAGCTGTATCCAAAATTGTAATTCTATTTAATGTTATTTGTGGCTTTTATTGGTAAAATATTTGTACCTTTACTAAATAATTATAAAAAAACATATACAAGGTCATCAGTATCATTAAATAGACATAAAAAATGTCATATGTCAAATTTTTTCATGTTCCTAGTACCTATCTTATTTTACTTGAAATTTTTCTCTGAGGCGCGAATTCTGACACCCAATATTAGGTATTATTTTATGTATTTAAAATCTATGAAAATGGTGTGAGTGTCGGCTATTACTTTGTTTTTTCATTTTTAGACAGCGTATGTACTGTGCCTTTAGACTACTTTACACTGGTGCTGAACGTTAACAACACAAGAAAAGTTTTACAAGTTGAGTATTTGATAGAAAAATATTTTCCCTCCAATCAAAGTTTCAGGTTTACCCAGCTTTGGCAGGTTTTTCTTCGCAATAAAAAACATCAGCAAAAAAACTAATTAGTTCTAGCATTTTTGAGTCTTGAACAAATTGATTTTTCAAACCATTATAATATCCAGAAGTCTTGGCCTAAAATAAAGGAACAGTGCCAAAGATTTTTACAAATTAAGCAGTGGGGGATTAAGCAATTATAAATGTTCGTTTGGTGGTTTCCCGCAACACAAAGCAAGCTTGTATCACTATTATTTAATGGCTTTAATGTTAAATTATATTCAATTACTTGACAAAACTGACAAATTTAAATAAATGATTCCAAAATTACGAATGACCTCTGAGGGTATCAAAATACATACAATATTGATACGCTTGCAAGTTTCGGTCGTAAATGTAGCCACCTTCAGAACTTGACACAAAGCTGGATAGAACAGGATTCGGTATTTTCAGTTTGTTGAAAATTTTGGAAAGAATCTCCCGTAACAAGATAAGCAGTCGATATTATGGATGTAAATTTTCATTATGGGCAGTTTCCTGTAAGAACGACTGCAGCTTTTATGACGGAATAAATCAAACAAGCTCGTCATCTAAACGTAATAAAATGCATAATATCTGCATAAAGAAACCGAATTTGGAATTTTCTTGTGGATTCGCTGTAATCGTGAAAAACGGTTTTGGGATTATTTATGAAGACATTAAATCAAATAATCAGTTGTTTTGACTGTTCGAATTGACCAAGTAAGCATCGTGGAGATTTAAAATTCCTACAACAGCAGTAATTTTTGCAATGTGTGCTTATTCTCGGAACGTCAAAGTGTTTATCACAAATTTGATGAAAATTGATGGTGCTATTTCGATCTAGTTTTCGATCGGTTGCATTTATAAAAATAGCGCGTTTGTGAGATAACCATATCAATTACATATGTGGGGAAGACGATGAGGCCATGTCCCCCAGACCAAGACAAGCAGTATAATTACACATTGCTGCGAGATTCGAACCGATGGAAGCCTTCTACGTCACTTCCTCTCGAGATCTCGCCAGGGGACAGGCCGTTTGATTTCTCCTCTCCGCATTTTTATTCGGCGACGCTCCGATTATATTCACCGTCCTAAAAATAACGTGTTGTTAAAAACGCTATCGCATTTTATAATACGTGTTTATCGTGAAATGAAATAATCTATGTGGGGTTATCTGTGTCGAAAAAATATCCGGGCCCGAGCAAACAATCGCTCCTCTATGCTATTTTCATTTTCTCTCCAAATAGATCAATGAGTAAATAAGCTGAATGGACATATCTCTAATCGCCGCGAGTATAAACAAAAACAAACTTTTTTACCCAAAAAACATACTGCCATCGAATCGACTCTTGGTATTATTCTCTCTCGTACGTTTTCAATCTTATCGAGAAATTCCTAGGGTCAACAACGCTACAGATAGCGCCGAAGAAAAAAATGATGAATAATATTCATACACATTGATTTAAATTATTCGATTTAGTGAGTTTTCTTTTATTTGAAGAATGAAACACACACACACACACTTTTTCTGGCTCGACCTTAATATTATTAGCCTTATTTAGTGAATAGGCGCCAGCCGAAGGCCACAAATTCGGAGCCAAACAAGAGATAGCATTTTTCCAATGATGATCATATGTTCTTTGGCCCACTTACACATTATTTATACCTGCAGCTAATTAATTCGACGTTTTACAATTTTTTGGCGTGATACAATCTAGTAACAAATCAACTGTACCGTTTCTTATACTGGTAACTTTGTACCAAATAAATTTCAACAAGGAGTGAACCTAGAGGTAAGACACCAAAATGGTAATTTACTCTTATCAAGTTGGCAATATCACGCAATGATGCTCAAATCAGAAACGTCAAAAATGTTTCCGACTACCTACCATCAATTGTTTAGTTTCCGGTTTTAAAATTACTATACATAGTTTACATCGTGGAATTCCATCTGTCATCAATTTAACTAGGAATCAATTTAGCTGACATCAAAAAATGTAATAATAAACAACTTTTAAAACAAGATATGTATGTATTACTCGTCTTTATCCTATTTCTCTAAGCTGTCAGAACGTACTTTTTATTTTAGTAAAGTCCGAAAGAATAGTATAAGAAGTTTCGAATTATATGCCTCTCTTAACGAGTTCCAGACTACGACTAAAATTTAGAAATTTTAACCATTGTCAACTATTCTAACACTAGTATGAGAATATTCTCGCACAGTTTTAATGGATATGAGTATTCTGTAATTAAAAATCAATCAAGAATATTGTTATTCTACAGTGTGTTCTCGGTTAGGTAAAAAATTCTCGATTAAAATTTTAATTTTTTAAGATTCAGCCCTGCTTGGTTAGAGACTAATTTATACATAGTTTTAGTGTTGAAAAATCAAGTATGTATGTCTTAGAAATTAAAAACAAAAAACAATTTTTTTGTAAAGTACCTTTTGGTTGGCAAATATGACAAAAAGTTATTAAAAAAAGTTGTTTAGAATCACCACCAAGACCCAAATACCAAATTTCATAATCATCCCCCCCAACTATGATTTTTCATTTTTCTGTTTATTTCACAAATCAAAGAATTTTATTTTAAACAGTTCTTTTATTACGAATAAAAAAATAAATGTAGATTATTAGTACTAAATAACTTTTTGATGTATATCTGTTAATAAACAGCAATTATCTTGAAAAAAAAAAGAAAAATCATAGTTGGCCGATAATTTTTAAATTTGGTAAAGGGGCATAAATGTTGATACTAAACAAATTTTCTCAATAACTTTTTGTCATATTTGCCACATAAAAAGCACTTTACTCAGCAAAAAAATAAAATAGTTTTTTGAAAATCTCCAACTTGATTTTTCAAAACTAAAATTATGTTAGAAATTAATTTTTAACCAACTAGGACTAAACCCCAAAAAATTAAAATAAATCGAGATTTTTTTATCTTTTTACAAGCGTCGTTTCACCTATTTGGGGACACACTGTATAATAGTCGTAGAAAAATATTTTTCTTTTATTTAAATTCGTATGTTAACTGTCAAAACGTAGTAGACCTTGACAATTTCACTTTTTACCCTAAAGTCATTTTTTGTTTGTTTTCCGAAAATTTATGCCAACTTTTTCACGAAATAAAAAGGTGGCATGGATCTGTCAATAGCCTTCCTAATCCCGTCATCTTCCCTTAAAACAGGCTTATGTGCGCTCTTTAAAAAATGCAAAACCATAGGGACACTCGAATGAGCTCTTCACTCGATGTATGGTCATGTCCTGTCGCGTCTTTCTTTCGCAATAATCGTAGGACGTGTCATTAGAATGAAAATTAAACCGGCCCCAGTGCACGTGGGTGCCAACGTATATAAAATTTATAAAAGGGAAGATAGGCATTGAGTTGTATAGAGGGTCCTTTTGTTGTATCTATGCAGATGTAGGCATGTTTATCACTCGACGGTCATCTCGACAATACGAAGAGGGCCTGGAGTAAAAATTTTGTTTGCATTAAAGGAAAAAAAAAACACACAACCAACCTGATTAACAGATACGAGAAGCTTTTAGTGGAAACGATTATAGCCATCAGAGTTATTTCGATGATTTTAGTAGCCATGGGGCGTTATCTCTTAATGTGACAGCTCGTGGTGATAATTTTAAAGGAGTGCCATTTTAAAAACTATCGCGCATTGTTGGAAGAAAAAAATAAATAGTAAAAATGTAGGGCGATTTACTGATACGCAATACAAACGAATAACGTCACTTTGAGACATATTTTCCACCGTTTGTATTTGCATAAAATTCTTAATCGGTACAAGACATACCTGAAAAAAAACTTAAATAAACAAGTGATGTCTACCTTTCATAACCAAACAGTGTGCTTTATTTACCACACGAAATGATCGTTCGTTCACTCTTCCATGAATTCGCGATTCTTTATACCGGGAGATTCAATCAACCGGGTCACCACGGCCACAAAAAGAATCAACAAAATTGGGAAAAGCAAACAGAAATTTCGGACAACAAACTCCAAACTTCTGCTTTACCGCGAGTATAACCGAAAACATTGTTTCTATTTTTCTCCATATTTTTGGTACTTTTTACTGATCTGAAATTTGGTGTGCGGATTGAGATTTCATAGTATAATAAGTGAGTTTGTTGTCTAGTTTTTGCGTTCGAGAGAAACAAGTCGGAGACATGGCAGTGATCATGTTGAAGTCCTCGGCATATCCTGCCCCCACCTCGCGGCTTCCTGTGCTTAAGGCGACGTCAGAAGAGGACGGAGCAGCGATCGTCGCCACCGTTCGTTGCACCAGAGAACGTTGACTTATTATATTCTTACTGCATAAACATATTGAAATACGTGGTGGAGAACGAAGAAGAGCTCGACGAAAAGTACGAAGAAAAGCGAAAATTGCAACACAGTGATTCGAATCCTAGAATCCAGAAGCAACCGATCTAAATTTGTTGGTGGTTATAAATAGACACCCACCGGATATTTGAAGTACGTCTTCGACAAACGTCACGAAAACATATCGCAACTAAAAATATGTTTTTTGACGACGACGATCCACCGAGACGCGAAATTTCCAATAGTAAATGCGAAATTAGAAAGTGAGAGAATAGCCGAGTTATATAAAATAATTTTGCTTCATTCATAACCGTTTGCAAGCAACCAGCTTTCCTATATTTAAAACGCCTCGCTTTAGCTACACCCATTTTCTTATTGCTCCATTGAATATTGAAATATGCTAAGCTATTGGTCTACATACCTCCTGGGTATTTTTACATTCTTTACGGCTCCGTAAACAATTTTATTATATAAATATTCAGCCATCTACAATTATTATTTATACCTCAGATAATTGATTTTGGGTAGTAATAAAGCGATCAGTAAATAATCCAATTTTGATCAGTATAAAATGATAAATGATGAGAATTCAAATAATTTTTGCAAAGTGAATAATAAAAAATGATCAGTAGAATATATTTTGCACAGTAAAAATAATAAATGTCAATTAAAGGACGCACAGTATTTTATTTTAATTAAAAATAATAAACGTTCAGTAACTTGAATCAAAATTAGTAAAATAACATAAAATTTAAGGAATTTTCAGTCTTGGTTAGATAAC